TTATGAGGTCAGAGGTCACATCTGGATATTATTATGAGGTCAAAAAGTCAGTCATCAATCATATTGACGTTTGCCCCCTTTTATGGACCCTACTCTTTGTTTCCAATGCAGAGCACAACAATGATACAAATACACATGCAAAGACAGGCATACAAGTCTAAAACCAGAAAACAAGAGTATCCTCCCAATGACATTTAATGCTACTTCACTATAATTTAACTTCAGTAACATTTCGTTGATACTGCTTGGCAAATTAAAGCATTTTGATGGATGTTTATAGTTTTGACAGTATTGTGCTCAGAGGATCAAACAGTAGAGTGTGGCGCTAGCAACGCCAAGATTGTGGGTTCGATTCCGATGGAAAGCATAACCTGATAAAATGTATACTTTGAATGCAATTTAGATAGAAGTATCTACCAAATGCATAACTGTAAATGAACTTAAATTATACTCTACATATCAGGCATAAAAGTCAAATTATCAATTGTGTTTTATACAAAACTGTTGAAATTCCTCTGTTGAATTTCCAGTTTGTGTCCTGTGTAGAGTGTGTCTAATTCAACAGATTCACTCTCAATAACTAAAAGGGATCAATTCTTAAAATATGAATTTTGTCTCACCCTGATATGTACAATTCACTGCATGACATTTTATTGACCGTATCATTTTACAACAAATTTTTTTTTTTTGGATTGAATGGTTGTAAATGCAAAGTAAAGCAAAAAGTATTTGGACACCAAACCACATCCAAAAATGTCTGAAAGTCATTGCATCTTGATTAAAAACAAAACATATGGTCAAATTCCATGGGAGCATTTTTTCCCCACTACATTCTTTTCACTTTTCTTCATAAACTGTCACAATACTAATAAACAGACACTTGCACTAGTAATTCAACAGTGACATTCAGACATTTTTACTTGGCTTAGATGTCCAAATGCATGATTATTAATGCACTCCTTTAATACAATTATATAAAAGAAAAGCTATAAATTATTTTGATATTACTTTGCTTAATATTCAAAGCAGCATCATGTGTTCTCCATCGAAAGTCTTCTGACTTGCAAATGTAATTATACATCAGAATGGCTATAAAAATATTCTATATAATCAACCTGTAATGCTTTGGAATGCACATAACACACACACACACACACGCACACACACACACACACTCCTTTATATGTGTTCAGTGACCTGCATTTGTGAGCTTTTCCCTAGTTTTCTTCTGTAATGTGTCACAATTAGTGCTGGGTGGTATGACCAAAAATTTATATCACGGTATTTTTTTAAATTTTACCGGTTTCACGGTACATGACGGTATTTTTTTTTTTCATGCATGACCGGGTGTTAACCATATCATAACAAAAATAAACACCGGTATTCGGTATGAACCGGTATACCGTCCAGCACTAGTCACAATAATGAATCCCTTGAGCTCTGGGGCCTTTTAGACAGATGCAGAACACATGTGGCTACTCGGCTTTGTGTACACAGCCCAAATTATGACCAGCAGGAGATCAAGAGTTTAAGTTGAGACTACTGGACTGTCCACTGGTCCATGATATTTAACCCATAATGTGCAGAAGACACAGTGATCTAAAACACTATGAAACAGCTGGATCACAGTGTTAACGGGGTAGGTCACCCAAAAATGATCATTCTGTCATTATTTACTCACTCTCACGTCACATTTTACTGTCTTTTATTCATGTAACACAAAAACAGATGTTTAGTAGAATGTACAAGCTTCTCTTTTCCACATAAGGCGTGTGGATAGTCATTTATACAGCTAAGCTCCAAAAGGACAAAAACTCAAAACAAAACACTATAAATAGGCATAAATAAATAAATAAGTGACTTTACAAATAAATAAATAAATTGTGACTATAAATAGTGACTTTATAAATAAACAAATAAATGAATATTGACTTTACAAATAAATAAATAAATTGTGACTATAAATAGTGACTTTATAAATAAATAATAAATGAATATTGACTTTACAAATAAAATAAATAGTGACTATAAATAGTGACTAAATAAATAAATATTGACTTTACAATAAATAAATTGTGACTTAATTAACTGTTTACAAATAAACAACTTTACAAATAATAAATAAATACATAAATATTGACTTTCTAAATAAAATAAATAGTGACTATAAATAGTGACTAAATAAATAAATATTGACTTTACAATAAATAAATAAATAAATAAATTGTGATTTACAAATAAGTTACATTACAAAAATAAATACATAATGACTTAATAAATCAATAAATGAATAAATTGTGGCTTAAAAATAAATACATACATTTTGCAAATAAATAAAATATATAAATAAATTGTGACTTTACAGATAAATAAATACATTGCATTTCAGATGGGTTTGAAACAACAGCGTGAGTACATGACGGAATTTTATTTCTGGGTGAACTGTTACTGTAACTCAGCATGTCGGGACAAGAATTGTCGCTGAATAAGGAAAGTGAGTGGAAGGGAATATTTGTGTGTCAGCACATGGTGATGATGGGGGAGGCCGAGGGGTGAGACTGTGGGGGGTGTCGGGGTCAAACTGAAGTAAATGATACCTTACCAGTGGTCTGACACATACGCATACTGCCTGATGTTGTTTAAAGAGCTGTAAAGTCATTTGTGAACTCTATCCTGCAAAGATAAAGGGCAGGAGCAGAGGACATTATGTACAGACCATTACTGTAGGGTTCTGACTATTGAGTCAACTTGCTAATCTATAGCTACACACAGTGGCTTCTGCAAATGGGAACTGTAGAAATCATCTCAAATCACTGACTGAATTTACATGCACAATTGTGATAAAGCAGACAGCGTGTACTCTGTTCTTGTTGAGAATCCACCTGTGATGCCTTAAATTCTGCTTTCGTAAACAGCAGCCATGTATCTGACCATTATTTTGCTTTTCATGTAAATGCCTTTTTGTAACATCAAGAATGGAGCAAAACTTGCTTCAAAATATAATTTGTTGTCAGGCATGTATTACAACATTTTTTCATTTTTTATTTCAAATTATGTTTTTTTTTTTGTTTGTTTTTTTTTTTTAGAATTTTTTGTTGCACATGTAAACCCACTCTCTAACACTCCACAAGGGAAATGACAAATATGCAGGAAATATACACTGCCGTTCAAAAGTTTGGGGTCAGTTTTATTGTTTTTGAAAGTCTCAAAAACACCAAGGTTGTGTTAAAATCATCAAAAAAAAAACAACAACAAAAAAAAAAACAGGAATATTGTGAAATATTATGTAGAAAGGTAGTAAAGACATTGTTAAAATAGTCCATGTGACATCAGTGAACTATCCCTTTAATATTATCAATGTTGAAAACAGTTGAGCTGATTATTATTTTTGTGAAAACTGATACTTTTTTCAGGATTCTTTGATAAATGGAAAGTTCAAAAGAATTTATTTGAAACAGAAATCTTTTGTATCAATTTAAGTGTCTTTACTGTCACATTTGGTTGATTTAATGCATTCATGCTGAATAAAAGTATTAATTAATAAAAGTAAATTAATACAAATATTTTTAATATACCCCTCAAAGTTTTCAATTCTAGTGTACAGTAAAGAATGAAACCAGGTTTCATGTGATTTTCAAAAGAACAAAACTTAAGTAAAGTTTTTCATTTTTATTTTGTTTGTATATATTTATATATATTTTTTCAAACCCTGGACTAGTGTATAAGAAATGACTAAGCGATGCTGACATTACTTTATTTATGGATTTAAATGGTTTATTTAGATTTATGTTTGAGTCATTTCGATGAAAGGAATGAAATTCAGAAAAAAACACCACCACCAGAGTCTTCTCTTGAGCTCTTACTCTCTTTAGAGTATTAGTAGTGTCTGCTTAATATCTGCTAACACTTTATTTTGCTGTTCATCAGACACTCTACCAACTATAAAGTACATATCAACCTATTCTACTCTAACCCCAACAAGTCTACTAATACTCTAATGAGAGTTGGTTAACTTGACATGTAGTTACAAAGTAACACAATGTTTACACAACAACAGAAAAGTTTTCCCTTTGCATTTTTGAAAAGTTTTGCGTGCAGACAACAACGTTATCAAAACCTTTCCCGTTCACACGGACCTGTGCAAAACAACTAAAAACGCTGTATTATTCTTGCCAGGCCAGTAGTCGCGATGTGAATTTGTAAAGAAACACTACGCGTCTGCGCGCATATGCTTTCCTATAGACTGAATATGTAATACGCATGACGTCAGAGTTTTCACAAATTTGCGTTTTTGTAGTTTAGATAACAGAAGTTTTCAAAAACTTTTTTTTAGTTGAAAACTGTCATGTAAATGCCCCCATAGTCAGTCGAATGTCTAAAGTGGGCTATCCAAATAAAGTGTAACCTTTTTTTTTTTTTTAGTTCAGACCCCCCACTGCTCAATCTACACATTTTATCTAGCAAACAAACTACACCCACCCCCAGCAAAGTGTGCCTGAACCTCCAGTCAAACCTTGAGCCCCCGCGAGCGCCCCTGACAGTCTGCTACAGATATGAGCACTGTTGTGATCATCTCACCCTCCTTATCCAAACACTCACAGAGAGTGCTGGAGTGGGTGGAGGTGGGCTGTGCATTACACGGCTACAAATGGCCCAAAATTATGAGGAGGAATAACAAGAATTTTCCTCTGACAACAAATCTACTGGACATTCCCCAAACTACAGCATACGACACAGGTAACTTTTTATGTAACTAAACAAATCCCCATCAAAAACTTTAGCACTGTAGAGTCACTAAAAAGCATCATTCTGCATACTTCAGAGGGGAGGCTTCAAATACATCACATACACACTTCACATGCTTGAAATGCTGTTCAATTCAAGCATTTCTACATATATATGAAATACAAAACCGTGAAATGTAGATTTCACTGCTGTGTGTTATTCGGAGATGCTATTGCTTCAGTGGAGGGCTTGAGGGAGAAGGAAAATACTGACCTCTGCTCCTCTTCCATCTCCTCCTCGGTCATTCTCTTCTCAAACTTGGTGGTCCTCTTATTACCGGGCACGACTGCGGGGGTCTCGACCTCATCTGTCAGTAAAGCAGCTGCAACATCTGAAAGACACGATATCAGATTGAACATTTACCTGATGGAAAGTGATTAAGTGGACTTTTACGCTACAATAAAAAGCTTTTGGTTTCAAATAAATGCTGTTTTTTTTATTTTTGTTCCAAGAATCCTTAAAAAAAAAAAAAAAGTTTCACAGTTTCCACAAAAATAGCAGCACAACTGTTTTCAACATTGATAATCTGAATAAATTCATATTAGAATGATTTCTGTCACCGGTCACTTTAAATGTCGGCCAAACTTCTGTCTCCTGTCCAAGTGAGCTATAGAGGACCTCACTTGATCTGGATACAAAAAGCAGGTGTTCGATCGGTATGAAGGTGTCTGTATTGTACTGACGGATCAGACAACAACACAGGAAGGGCAGAAAATCTTCCGTGACACTGCGCCCTGTTCCTAACCCAGATTATCATCCTACCAGGTCTAATCCACTTGCAGGCCTGTCAAGTCATTGGCACCGGCAGCTAGGAAGTCTTTATATTAAATCAAGGATAAAGGCTGTTCTGCACACGCTGTTGGCAGCTGAAACCTATTTCACACACACTTCATATCTGCGGCACGTGCTGCTAAAACTAGCTCTGTTGCTGTTATAATTCATTAACTGACATGTTTTTGCAGTAGAGACCCTGGTCTTTCGCAAACGAGGGTTATATCTGAGCACACCAGCTGATGTCTGGATGTAAACGCAGCAGAATCTGTAACCTAGAGGCCAATGTACCGCTGGGAGAACAAAGGCATCAGTTTACAGTCGCAGAGCACAAAGCTCCAGTGTGCTTGAGTTTATCTTCGCGAGCACTCACAGCCCTGCTCTCAAAACACTCGCTCATATGGAGCATAATGAAACCTGCAGCTCAGAGAGCCACAGGCAGATATGAACCAGAAGAAAATGACAGATTGAAGAAAGAAGCCAGGATCCAAACAAACTACCTCAGTGCATGAGAGAAAAGTATAAATATAAAAGAATTACCCGCCAGAATGTGATTTTTTATTTATTTATTTTTTAGAAATAATGGCTCATAATTCCATTGCTTTTTTT